GCGGCCGGCGGCCCGGCCCCGGCCGCCCCCCGGCCACGCCCTCCTGTGGGTGTTCCTCAGCCTGCTGGGCCTGCTCCGGGCCTGCCAGGCCGCCTCGCCGGCGGTCCCCCTCTCGGACTTCCACACGGTCCAGGTGCTGGCCGGCCCGGGGTACGGCGATCGCCAGCGGAACATCCGCCTGTGCGACTTCTTTTCGCAGCGCCTGCTCATGGCCGGCGACACCGATGGCTTCGACGACATCAGCTACATGCAGGTGTACTACTCGGTGCGCACCGGGCCCGAGGGCAAGCGCCAGGGCCACTTCGCCGGGCCGCGCGCCGTGCGCTTCCTCCCGGCCACCTATGCGCCGATCGCCTGCTTCAGCCAGTACCCCTTCGCGCCGGGCGGCCCGGACCGGGTGGCCCTGCACTCGCAAATCGTGTCCACCATCCCCCAGGTGTACAGCACCCCGGCCATGGTGGGGAACCTGCTCCTCCTGACCAGCGACCACTACGCCGACAGGATGCAAGTCTCCGGGACCGAGCATGTGCTCATCTTCGACCGTGCCTCCCCCCCGCGCGTGGGGGCCCACATCCTGAGCATCGCCCACTCGACCCTGCTGCTTACCAAGATCACCGACGGCGTCAATGTCGAGCCGATCGCCCACAGCCCGCAGCTCGGCCAGCTCCGGCTCCTGACGGCCACCGACCTCGATGGCGATGGCCAGGTGGATGCCGTGGTCGTGGGCCGGCCGACGCCTGACCTCCCCGGCTCGCCGGAGGCCCTGTACTGGCTGAGCAATGTCGGCCGGCAGCCGGCGGCCAGCCCCACCCCCCTGGCGGATGTGTCCATGCTGTACCGGCTGCCGGCCGGCTTCCGCGCCGGGCAGATCGTCGTCGGGGACTTTGACCAGGACGGCCTGGCCACGGACCTGGCCGTGGCCTCCGGCGCCGGGTCCTCCGGCCCGGAGCACATCATCTTCCTGCTGTCGTCGGATCTGGCCGCGCCGGTGCACCTGTCGCTGGAGGCCATGACCGCCGGCGACCCGGCCCTCGGGCAGGTGCCGCACTCGGCGCGGCAGCCCAAGATCGCCCCGGCCCCGGGCCTCCCGGCGCCCGGGGCCACGGGCCTCCTGCTGGCCCATGGCAGCCGGGTGTGGCTGGTCCCGGGCCCGGTGCGCCCGGTGGCCGGCCGCGCGTCCACCCTGGACCTGGTGGCGGCCGGGGCATACCGGCTTCTGCCGGACTTCCCCACCGCCACCGATGTCTGGTGGTCGGTGGCCACCGGCGACGTGGATGCCGATGGCCATCTGGACGTGGCCCTGGCCCATGGGTCCGTGCCCGGCCAGGTGTGGCTCCTGTCGCGGGTGAACGCCACGCCGGGCTGCCTGTGCGGCCCGGCGGCCAGCTGCCAGCATGGCGGCTTCTTCGAGCAGCCCCAATGCCACTGCCACGACCCGCATGCCGACCCGGATGTGGACTTTGCTCCGTGTGAATTCTGCCGGCCGGGCTTCTTCCGTTTGGCTGCCGGTGCGTGTCGGGCCGCGGGCCCGCCGGTGTGCGGCCCTTTCCCCCTTGCCCGGTTGGTGCCCGTAGCCGGATGCCTGGCTGACCGTCTGCCGTCGCACATCCCCCCCCGCGCACTCATGCGTACATCTGTGCCTTCATGTGGATATATATATATGTGCACACTGGCATGCATTTCGCCGCGCCCCCGCGCACTCATGCGTACATCTGCGCCTTCATGTGGGTATATATATATATATGTGTGCACACTGGCATGCATTTCGCCCCGCCCCTCTCGCGCTGCCCAGATGACCCTTGCCAAGCCTGCCACCCCTCGTGCGCCAGTTGCCTCGGCCCGGCGGCCAACCAATGCCACTCATGCCCGGAGGGCAGACCCCTCCAGCAGGGGGCCTGCACCGAGGCGCCGGCCTCGACGCAAGTGAGCGTCACACTCCAGCACCCCGAGTGGCCCTTCTATGAGGCGGTGCTGGGCGGGCCGGTTTCCGCGCCGGGCGGGCCCTCCCAGCAGCCCCACGTCATTTGGCAAGGCACCGAGCCCCTCTCGCAAGTCGGCATGGTGGAGGGATACCTGCGCATCGACAGCCACATCATGGTGACCCCCTCGGCCGAGGCGCTGAGATTCCTGCAGGGGCATCTCCCCGGCGGGGTGCTCTCCTTCCGGGAGGCCCCCCTGCGCGGGGGGTACCACGCCACCAGGCACGCCGCCACCAGCATCGCCATCGGGCCCCTGGGCAAGTACCACCAAAAGGTCCCGCTCGTGTGGGCCCAGCCCCTGGTGTCGGCATGCCTGGCCGCCTCGCCATCCGGCATGTGCCAGACCTTCCAGCAGGGGGTCCAGATCGCCGAGGGCGAGGTGACCCTCGGCCGGGTGGCCGGCCCCCCAGGCTCCCAAGCCGTGGTCCGCATGCAAATGGGCCAGCTTTTCGCCGACCGCCAAATCAGCCCCCACGCCGTCCTCTCGGTGCAGTGGCTCGCCGTGGACAATGACTTCGGCATCGAAACCATGGTGGCCCTCGTGGAGCAGGCCCCCCCGCCCCCCGGCACGCCCGGCCCCTCGGCCCCCGGCTGCCAGCTGCTCTGGTTCCCGATCACCAACCCCGAGCCCACCTCCGTCCTGGCCGCCCCGGGGGAGGTTCTCCGGTCGGATGTGCCCTGCGGGCGCCTGATGCCCATGCTGTCGGGCCCCGGCCAGCGGCCGTCCTTGCTGTTGGCTCCGCGCCGGCCGGACCCGGCCACCGGGGCCCTGCTGCTGCTCCTGCGCAATGCCGCCTCGGGCCATGTCTTCCGGCCGGACTTCCAGCCGCCGGTGGTGCTGCTCACCCTGCAGCATGTCGGCCACGAGCCCGGCACCCCGGACCTGGGCCCGGTGGTGGCCAGGCCCGACCCGCTGGCCATGGGCCCCGGCCGGGCGCGGGTCTTCCTCTGGTCCGGCGCGTGGCTGCACCTGGTGGACCTGCTGCTGGACCCGGCCGGGCCCGGCACCCACCAAGTCCACGTCCAGCACCAGCCCCTGGTCCCGCGCCGGGACTTCGACCCCTTCCAGGGGCAGGACCTGGAGCTGCTGGTGCTGGATGTCGAGCCGGACGGCCACTCCGAGGTGGCCATGTACAGCCCCGCCACCGGGGCCGTCACCCTCTTCCGCCGGGCCTCCGTGGACAATGGCTGCGGCTGTGGCATCGCCGGGGCCTGCCGCGTGCCCGCCGGCTGGAGCCCGGGGGCCGTCTGCCCAGCGGCGCTGGCGAGCGCCCGGCACCCGGCGCCCGGCCGGCCGGCCCGCGCCCAGGCCTGCGTCCACCAGCCGACCGCCCTCCGCGCGGCCGACCTGTGCCAATGTGCCCCGGGGTTCCTCACGCCGGACCCGATGGGGGAGCTGTGCGGCCAGTGCGATGCCGCCGGGCCCGGGGCCCAAGCCCGGCCGGCCCCCGACCCGGCCCCCGACCCGACCCCCGACCCGGCCCCCGACCCGGCCCCCGACCCGGCCCCGATGGCCCAGCCCCCGGGTGCGGCCCGCTGTCACGGCGACTGCCCGATGGCCGGGTGCCTGGTGTGCCGGGAGGCCGGGTGTGCTGTCTGCGAGGCCGGGCTGCTGCTCACCGAGGCCGGCCAGTGTGCCACCCGGTGCGACGACCCGCACGCCCCGGTGCTGGATGGCCAGCGCTGCCAGGCCATCACCCCGGCCGAGGTGTGGGTCGCCGCGCGGCACGTCCCCCTGCACGCGGACTGGGCCGCCATGGATGCCGTGCAGGTGGCCCGCATGCGGGTCCTCCAGTCGACCGCCGGCGCCCGGCTGCCCATGCTGTCCCACACCCACTTCCTGCATTTGGCCACCCTCCGGCCGGAGGACGGCCAGCGCGAGGACTGGCTGGTGTCGGTGGCCGAGCTGCTGCCGGATGGCCGCCCGGCCGAGCCGCGGTCCATTCGCCTGGCCGAGGCCGTGGCCTTCATGCGCGACTACTGCACCAGCCGCTTCGAGTCGCAGGTGGCCTCGGCCTCGTCGGCCACCTGCCCGGCGGGCGGGCCGCATGGCCTGCCCGGCCTGTCGGCCGAGCGTCGCACGCGCCCCGGCTGGGTGATGACCAGCCGCGCCGATGGCCGGGACCCGGTCGCCGCCGCCGCCGCCGCCGCCGCCGCCATGCGCGGCCCATCGGCCGGCCGGTCGCCCGGGCCCGAGCACCCGCCGGGCGCGCGGCCAAGCATGTCGGCCGCCGGCGGTGGCGGTCCCCCCCACCAGTGGGACACCGTGCCGGTGGGCTTCCTCCCGGGGTTGCCGCGGCCGGTGCCCATGCCTTGGCTCGCGGCGCTGGAGAAGGCCCCGCCGCCGGGGGCCGCCACCGCCACCGCCACCGCCACCGCCACCACCATCGAGCCCGGGCCCCACCCTCCAGGCCTGGCCAAGCAGGCACTCAGCCAGATGCTCGACATGGCGGTCCATGTCATGGCCATCGGGCCGGGGCCGCCGCCGCCGGCGGCCGGCAGCCAGCCCCCCCAGCCAGCGGGCCTGTGCGATGTCACGGGCCAGGCCCTGCCCCAGGTGTCCCACCTCCAGCTGGCCATCATCCAGCTCCACTCGCTCAGCGTCACGGACATCGACGTCCTCCGGCATTGCTGGATCCAGGTCCTGCCCTTGCCCTTCCCCGAGGCCGAGGTCTTCCTCGACCAGACGGCCCACGTGCCGGGGTCCACGTCCTGGGGCATGCGCCTGGCCCGGCTGCCGGCCGGGGCCGGGCCCGATGCGCGCGAGGACTTCCTCCTCATCCACCGCCATGCCCTGCCCCCCGTCGGCGGCGGCCTGCCGGGCACGTGCGATTACGTGCTTGTCCGGCTGACGCCCCGGCCGGCCGGGGCCCTGCCCTGGTACCAGGCCCACCGGTCGACCATCCTCGGCGTCCTCTTCGGGTCGACGTCCCTGCAGAGGCTGGAATCCGTGCGCGATGTGTACCCCTCGCATGCGGTCCAGCAGCCGGGGCTCCTGCTGGCCACCAGCAGCAGCCCCTGCCTGTGGCCGCTGGCCCCGGATGACCTGGCCATCACCAATGCCGTGCTGGTGCCGTCCAACCTCGGCGACCAGACGCGCGTGGCGCTCGTCCGCGCGGACGGCCTCGGCGACAGCATTGTCGTGCTGGACTTCACGTGCATCATGCAGACCCAGTGTCTCACGCACTTGCCGGGGCCGGACTCCGGGGGCCCCGGCCAGGCTGGCCCCCTCCGGCCGGATTACGGCTGCCCCATGCAGGTGCTCGAGCGCGAGCCGATCACCGAGGAGGTCATCCTCCAGGTGCTGGATGTGGATGGCAACCTGCTGATGGACTATGTCCTGATTTACCCCGGCACCGGCCGGGTGGTGGCCTACCTCGTGCTGGACAGCCACCATGGGTCCCTCCGGCGGGTGGTCATGCTGCCGGGCCGGGACCCGGCGGCCGGGGCCGCGGCCGCGCCCGGCCACTCGCCCCCGCCGCCGCCCCGCCCCGGGGCCCTCTTCCTGGCCGACATCGACCAGGATGGCCATGTGGAGGTGGTGGTGCTGGACCGGGCGCAGGGCCCGGGCCAGCCGGCGGCCAGCCTCACGGTTTACGCCCGGTCCGACCAGACCACCGGCTGGTGCCCGCCCGGGGTGGACTTCGACCCGGCCGCCGGCCAGTGCGCCTGCCAGGACCCGGGCATGTTCCTCAGCCCGGTGACCGGCCGCTGCGAGTGCATCCTCCATGCGGCCCCGGCGGCCGGGCCCGGGGCCCGGGGGTGTGTCTGCCCGCCGAGCATGCGGGCCACCCCCTCGGCGTGTGTCTGCCAGCCGGGCCTGCTGCCGGTGGCCAGCGAGGCCACCGGGCTGGCCCTCTCGCCGGGCCACTGCGCCGCCTGCCATGCCACCTGCGCCATGTGCTCGGCCAGCCGGCCGGGGCTGTGTGCCGCCTGCCGGCCGGGGGACCTGCTGCAGGCCGGCACCTGCGTGGCGGCCTGTGCCCCGGGCTTCGCCATCAGCCCGGACGGCCGGCAGTGCATCGCCTGCGCGGCCTCCTGCGCCACGTGCACCGGGCCGGCCGCCCAGCAGTGCACCTCGTGCACCGGCAGCCACTTCCTGCCGGGCGGCGTGCCCGGCGCCTGCCGGGCCTGTGACGTGGCGTGCGGCAAGTGCGTCGGCCCGGCGGCCTCGCAGTGCATCGACTGCGCGGCCGGCTGGCTGCGGGCCCCGGCCGGCGAGTGTGTGCGCACCTGCCCCGAGGGCACCGGCCTCTCGGCCCCCGGGTCCGGGGTGTGCGCCGCGTGCGCCGATCCCGGCTGTGCCATGTGCCTCACGGCCGAGGCCGGGGCCATCTGCCAGGCCTGCCGCGAGGGCTTGCAGGTCGATGCCTCCGGCAAGCGGTGCCTGCAGTGCGATGTGTCCTGCGACACGTGCAGCGATGCCGGGCCGGCCGGGTGCCTGACCTGCGCGCCGGGGCGCCTGCTGCACGAGTCGGCCTGCGTGGCTGCCTGCCCGGCCGGGACCTTCGCCAGCGGGGCCCTGTGCGACCGGTGCTCCAGCCGGTGCGCCACCTGCAGCGGGCCCCTCTCCAGCGAGTGCCTCTCCTGCCCGGCCGGGTGGCTGCTGCAGCCGGACGGTGCCTGCCGGCCGGCCCCCTGCCCGACGTGCGTCTGCAATGACCCCGCCTGCGAGGCCTGCAGCCCGGCCAACCCGGATGAGTGTCTCCTGTGCGGGCCGGGGCTGCTGCTGCTGCTGCCGGGCGGCACATGCGCCAGTGCCTGCCCGCCCGGCATGTACACCACCCCGAGCGGCGACGCCTGCCTGCCCTGCCACGCCTCCTGCGCCGAGTGCTCCTCCCACCGGTCCAGTGCCTGCACCGCCTGCCCGGGGGCGCATGTGCTGGACCGCGGCCACTGCCGGGAGGCCTGCCCGCGGCTGGGCTTCTTCCAGGAGGGCACCGCCTGCACGCCCTGCCACGGGTCGTGCCTGGCGTGCGCCGGGCCGGGCCCGGACCAGTGCGACCTCTGCCCCCGGACCCATGTGTCCCATGAGGCTCGCTGCTTGGATGCCTGCCCGCCGGGGACCACCCCCCTGGCCGGCGGGTGTACCCGGTGCGATGGGTCCTGCGCCCAGTGCGCCGGGCCGATGGCCGACCAGTGCACCGCCTGCCCGGCCCGGCCCGGGGCCGGCCTCTGGCAGGGGGCCTGCCCGGCCGGCTGCCCCTCCGGCACCTTCCCCGAGGCCGGGGCCTGCCTGCCCTGCGGGCCGCACTGCCTGGAGTGTGCCGGGCCGGCCGGCGTCCAGTGCACCCGGTGCCGGGGGGACCTGCTCCGGCACCCGGGGCACGGCTGTGTGGCGGCCTGCGGGCTGGGCTTCGCCCCGGTGGGGGCCCAGTGCACGGCCTGCCAGCCGGAATGCCGGCACTGCGACCCGGCCCCCGGGCATTGTGTCCAGTGCCCGGAGGGGGCCCTCCTCGGGGCCACCCCCGGCACCTGTGTGGCCGCCTGCGCCGGGGCCCAATTCCCGGACCACACCTTCCCCCATGCGCCCCGGTGCGCCGACTGCCATGGCGATTGCGCCGCCTGCGAGCGGGGCCCCGGGCCGGAGGACTGCACCCTCTGCCGGGCCGGGGCCCTGCTCATGCCGGGGGCCGGGTGCGTGGCCGACTGCCCGGCCGGCTTCTTCGAGGGGCCGGACCCGCGGTCGGCCGGCGCCGGCCAGTGCGCCCCCTGCGCGGCCGGCTGCGCCGCCTGCACCGGGCCCGACCCGGGCGCCTGCACGCGCTGCCTCGATGGCCGGCTCCTGCTGTCGGGCGTGGGGGGCTGCCTGCCGGCCGGGGTGGACACCTGCCCGGGCGCCTGGCACACGGACGCCGCCGGGCGCCGGTGCCTGCCCTGCCCGCCGGGCTGCGCGCGGTGCGACGCCTCGCCGGACGACTGCCAGCAGTGCGGCCCCGGCTGGCGGTCCATCCGCCTGCTGGACCGCCAGCCCACGGACGCCAGCCCGGCCGGCTCCGGCCCGCGCACCTGCGTCGACGACTGCCCCGAGGGCTGGTTCGCCCCGGGGCCCAGCGCCGACGGGTGCTCCGCGTGCGACATGTCCTGCGCCGTGTGCCGCGGCCCGGGGCCGGATGGCTGCCTGGCCCCGGGGTGCGAGGGCCCCGGCTCCTGCCGCAACAGCCGTACGTGTCCCTTCGCCCCCCAAGGGGGGGGGGGGGGTCGTTTGTTGGGTTTAATGGCCGGGCCCTTGGCTCTTCTTTTCCTCCTCGCCCCCCGGCCCTGCCACTTGTTTGTCCGCGCCCTGACTCACCGGCTCCCCGGCAGGCGCGCTTGTCCTGCCCATCGCCCTGTCGCTGGGGCTGCTGCTCCTGCTGCTGGCGGCGCTGCTGGTCTTCTTCCTGCTCTATCGCCGCCGGCTCCGCCGCCATGCGGCGGCGGCCGCCGCCAAGGAGGCCCATGCCATCCCCCTGCGGCGCCTCGGCAACCCGGTGCGTGCCCGGCCCATCCTGCGGGGTTTTTTTTCCCCCCCGACTGCTCACCCCCCGTCGCACGCACACCACACCAGGAGGACCTGACCGTCATGAACACCATCATGGGTACGACCGCCGCCGCGAGCCCGACACCGCCCCGGCACCTTGCCACTGACGTCCCCCCCCCCCCCCCCCCCCCCCCCCCCCCC